GGAACATTTTTTAACGACACAACCAATATTTTGTTTGCTTAACAACGAACTTAATTACTTCTGCTACATTTTTTAGATAACTTTATAGATAACAAAAATATTTGTTTATATTAACTAAATAATTTAGTTGGTATAAATAAATATTTTTGTTCGATACGGTTTAAACTACATTGAGAAAAAAAATAGAATTCATAAGCAAATATCACATGTGACGTTTTCTTCGATATTTATTGTTCATATATAAAAAAATTAGACTGTGACGAAAAATATAGCTTTTTATAAAATATACATATTTTACAATTGTGAAAAAATAAAACAGCTGATGGTTTTTTATTTGCTAGGAATAAAATTTTACTTCACTGTATTAATAAATAAGAATTTATTTTTGTGATTTATTTTAGTGAACCGAGCTGTTTAATTAACAATAAACAAATATTTATTTACAAAACTGAAAAGTATATTGAGCAAAAGCAACTAAATTTATTGTTACATAAACAATATATTTGTTGTTAAAAAATACTAGTTTTGTTAAAGACATTATTTTTTTCTAATATATCTTTATATTATTGAATTCAAAATTATAACATTGATATTATGTTATTTTTAATTTGTGTCGACTGATTTCAATAACATCAGTATTGTCACGTGCGTTATATTATTGCGCATTATGTGTGATAAAAATTGCGCAACAAGATTATAAGACGATATCAACACTGTCGTTAAAAATTATAGAGAATCAGGATACTGGAAAAGAGACACAATGAATTCATATGCGCTCCAGTACAAGTAGAATATAGAAAGCCTGTTCTTTTTCTATACCCCAGGAACTGAATTTCTTGTAGGGTCCATCTTTTGTCTTTTTCTTTCCAATGTGAAAAGGAAAAGGGGAAAAGTGAACCCTTCAAAAGAAGTTCAATTCTGAGGTATGGAAAATGTACAGGCCTAGAGTACGTGTGTCAAATTGTGTCACAATGATATCGGACGCTTCCCGTTTAGTGACACGAGCTTTTTATCTTTCTTGGCGTTCAAGGAGTAACAAAGATAGAACAATATCACACAAAAAGCACCCATCATAGAATGACATAATGACTTTGTTTGTCACTTATGAGTGAACTTGTAAGTGACAAATAAAATCATGATAACATTCTTACGATGATTGTGACTTCTGTGTACCACGTGTCCTTTTCCCTTCTTTCTTTTACTCTCTTTTGAGCTAATGAAATGTTATTACGTGTTATATTAAGTGCACGTTTTATGGCACACGTAAAAAGTTAATTGATTTGTTAGAGCGAGTCAACAAATTACTGATTACACATATGAGGTTGTTTATTCATCCTGTTGAATGTCTCCGAACTAATCGTAAAACGAGACGACGAAATGAAGAGAAAATATGGAACAAAGTTTTTTATGCTAGTTTTCGAAAAAAATGAATGAAAATTAGAAAATTAATTAAGCGATCACTAACTTTTTATTCACAATTTATATCATGCGTCAATATTAATATAAAATTAATAAAAAATTAACACAATTAATTAATATAAAAAATATAAAACACTTCACTACATAAAACAATTCAAAATCATTTAAATTACTGAACAAAATATGTACAAATAAGACTACTATTTTTCAATAAAATATATGAAATACATATTTAAGAAACTTAATACATCGATAATTTTCAAAATCAAATTTCACGAGAACGTAGCGTCGCATACAAACTTTTTTACTCTACTCATTCCGTTTACAGTTAAAATTTTTGATTAAATTCCACTCCCTGTTCGATCATGACACCAGGTCGGGGACACCCCAGCCAATATGACTATCGAACGCGAATGACATTATTGTGAGCGAGGAACTAATTTATTACGACGCATATATAACGCAAGGAAAAAAATTCGCATGATTTCTCGCTTCTGACGTCACTGGCCAATATGGCCGCGTCGAGGGACCAGAAAATTTTTAAATAAACCGAATAAACGATTAAAAGTTACTTCTTCCCCGTGACGGGGAGCACACGGGGAAGGCATCAGCCCCTTGTCGCGCGCGTGCGCAAGATTCTCCCCTCGATCCAGGGTCCGGGGAGACTGCCTGGCCGCTCCTGCGCCGCAACCGCGTGGCGCGCGAACCGCCATCTTGCCTGGCCGTTTTTTAAATTTACATTTTTACTCTGGCCAGCGAGAACCTGTCCGTTGTGGTGCGCGCTGTGCGCACTTACGTAAAAACCTGCTTTTCCGAGGTAACTGAAGTTCCGTATCGCAGACTGTTCGCATAACCGATCGATCGAATTCTCCGTTTAGGAAAAAAAGAACAAAGAGAGAGAAAGATACGTGCGTAATACACGCGCAACGCTGACGTATACCTTTAGCGCGCGCGTGCCATTTATGTAACCCGCGCTTATGTATTTATTCTGACGTGCGCGTTATCGCCGGAAATTGATGACGTTCGCACGAAACAATTTTGTCATCGTTCACCTTTACGGTGAAGTAAAACCGATTGGAAGAGAAGCGCGTATCGTCTATCGGAGCCTCTCTGTTTATTCGACTCGAGATAATGCGAACTCCTAAACCGCACTGGGGAAACATCGATTTTTCGGCAATCGCTCCGCGTTCGTCCCTCGAACGATAAAAGTATCTTATCTGTCGTCTCGTCGACGACCGGTTTTATGAGTCGTACTGTTCGCAAGGCGAAGCGCTTTTGCGCAAACATACGTTCACGCGTTTCAAGGTCCGATCGGATCGTAAATATGTACGTTCATAACCGATCGAGGTATTACGTCGTTCGCAAACAGCGTTTAAATATTAAACATGAGACGCAATCGCGACGGTTCTCATCGTGTGTCGTTGCCAGTTCCGTTTCATTGCGTCGCATTGCGTCGCGTTGAAATACGACGAAACGACGACATTGGGAGCGGAGGCGAAAAAGACACCTCTTTTCATCGTGTTGCAACAGATTGCGCCAGATTTCCGGTCCCGATCGCGGCGAACGGCTACGATTGGCTGGGAAAAATGTATCCGGCAGGGGCCAATTGGCCTTCGATAAACGACTGCAAACGGCTACCCGTGGCGATGTCAAAACAGCCTGCGTTCCTGCCTGCCTGCATGTCGCATTTGATCAGCTGTCCGTCGATCGGTCGATCGTCGCAACCGACGATGATGACGACGATAAATAAAAACGGTATCCTCGTCGCCAAAGTGGCGCAAACGTTCCTTACTCACCGCAAAAAGGGAGCTCCTCCCTGGAAGTCGGACTCCAGTTACGCAACGCGATGCGCGATGGGACACGTGAAAATACGGAGTGAGCTGTCAAGTCGATCCGTGCGGCGCGTCGTCTGCTACGAGATATCTCGACCGCGGCATAAGCAACTCGTCGAGATGTTCGATGTTGTGGCGCTCATCGCGGCCGTTTCGGTATTTTACGTCTGATTGGTAGACGCGCCGAGTATCCGATTGCGCCGACCAATTGTTGCATCGGACGTAACCCAGCTGTGTGTACACTGCCATTAGGTCTGTTCTTTGCGGCTTTTTCATTGGAAGAAATTAGTGCAACACTGGTACACACTGAATGCAATTGAATGCAAATTAATTCACATATTTTCAGTGTTAATAAATAATTTAACCTGTTTAACTACGTATTCTTTGTCGTCGCGATAACTTTAAAGGGATCAAATTATTTATTAACATTGAAAATTACACCAGTATTGCACTAGTTTTCCGAAAAACGTTAATAAGGGTACGTTATTATCCTAAGGTCTATGCACAATGGAGGAAATATTCGAAACAGGAATAAATATATGTCGTTTCAGAAAATATTGATGGCTGTGTCAACAAAACGCAATAAGTCTAATAGGTTATGTCGCTTTGTATCTATCTTGTAATTTAGTTGACAGGATTTTTTTATTACAAGATAAATTTCAGGAAAAGTTTCGAGTGACTCATAGGACAGTGTTTTATTTATTATTATTCACTTCTGTAATCTGGTATTTTGCTATTATTTATTTTTGTCCAAAGACTTTGGCTGCTTTCCTTTTAGGAGACACAGTTGACACAAATGTCATTTTATCTTTGTCATTCATTGAATGTCGAAAAGGATAGAACGACGTTTCTGTCAACTATGTCTCCTAAAAGAAAAGCAGTTTTTATGTTTGCAACAAATATATGTAAATTTAATATACATTTATGGTAAGTGCAATTATTGAATTTTGTGTTTTTACTGTAACTTATATATTATTTAACGGAAAAACTTAATAAAGATATCTTAGCAGATGAAATACACCAGTTGATATTATCACATCTTTAGCTTAATATACTTATATTGAACATTTTTTATTTGTCAGACTGCTTGCATTACTTTTGTATTTATTATTAGATTTTATCTTTATGTATAGCACTTTCTATGATATCAGAAATCATTACATGCTGCTAAATTCGCTATTATTCCTAAATTTACCATTATTTGCAATTATTTCTAAGAGTAATAAATTATATATAATTGTTTATATTGTTTTGTCTATACAGTTGATTTATGCAGGTGATAACTGAATTGCAACAGCAATCACAATAATTTTCAAGTTTCGTATTTTGAGTAAGTATTTTTGTTCTATATATATATATATTTATCTACAATGGATGTTAATCTATTTCATTATGATAGAACTCCATTTATCTGTACTCCATTTATACAAACAAATTTATATTCAATTTCAATAGTTCTTTTGAACTTTCCATTTGGAAACACAAACCCACACAAGTTATCTTTGTTATTGTAATCATTGAATGCCAAGAAAGATAGAAAGATAGAATGATACCAACTATCTTGTCTCTCAACATGTTTAGATAAATGGAGTTTTACTGTAGTTTGTACTATTAAAACAGCCCTTAAATGCTCAATATTGTACAATAATTTTATTAATGCCTTTTTTAAATAATTTAAATAATTTAAAACAGTCTAGAACCTCTAGATGATTAATAATACTTTGTGTTTACAATACTTTGCAATAATATTGATCATCTAGGAGCCACTTAAGTTATAAATGTATATTTGCTTCATTTTCTATCCATACCATACAGCAATGCTTTCAATGATTCTTCATTTATGGTTTGCAGAGACTCTGTGACATCCTTATTATGGCTGAAGTTTTGCTCTATGTCTGGCTCTAAATTCATTTGTACATTTCCAGAAACCTGTGGGAAGTCAGTGTAAGAATCTATCGGATCCTCTTTACGTTTAGGCGAAGATACTCTCAAGTGTTCCATTTCAAACGTCGAAGATGATATGCTCGTTTCAAGGGGTGACATCACCATGGAAAAGAAATCATTCGTGCTTTTTGCGTCTATCTTTTCGTTGTCTGATTGCACTCTTTCAATTGATTCTGCTGATTCCTCTAGTCCCGTACTATTAAGATCGTTAGTACCCCATGTCTTGCTCTTTAGATCTTCGTTAGTATTGCTGGCATCTGTAAATTTGATGCCTTGTTCCTTTCTCTCGGAGGATATGTTATTTATTTCTGACTGCAGCGCTAAAACGGGTTGTCCTTGAGCGTTTATTATCAAAACGAACTTATTTTCCTCATCAGTGGTATTTGTTATTGATTGATTTTCTTGCAGGCTATCAGTGACTCGTGACCTGACTGTGCTGTTATCAGCCTCTCGTGTATCAGATGTCAATTGCTGTGTGCTCCCTGAAGTTTGTACAGGGCATTTATGGGTTCTTTGACTCACCTACAAGTGTGAATTATGTGTGAGTTATCAAAGACGCTCGACATCTGAAAACACTCAATGATCACTTTGTACCTTGTATCGGAAGCTTTTGCCACACATTGTGCATTTATAAGGCATCACTCCTGTGTGAATACGACGATGGACTAAGTACGAAACACGCTGACGGAAACACTTTCCTGCGGAAGAATTAGTACGGCAGTTGTAGGAGGATTATTATCGTTGTTGGTGGCCTGCAGCACACTTACAAGATAAGCTTCTTGTGAAAAATTACCTGCATTTCAGTAAGCCATGCACAGCACACCATAATATTACAGACACTACGCAAAATAATTAATGGTAATTGTTAGTCAATCCCAAACGATTGTTTATTTGATTAATTCTGCACCGGCTTTAATGTTTGTTCTTTCGTAACGTACCACATGTCTCGCAGGCGAATGGCTTCTCCCCGGTGTGAATCCTTTCGTGATTATGTAACGTGGAGAGTTCCTTGAACGATCTACCGCAAGTCGCACAGGTGTGTGGTTTATCATCCTTGTGATAAAGTCTGTGCTTGTGATACGATTGCTGAAAGGTGAAACTTTTGTCACATATTTTACATTTGTAAGGCATCTCTCCCGAGTGCAGTCGTTTGTGCTTCTTCAGAAAATATTTGGTCGTGAACATTTTACTGCAAGTATCACACTCCCACTGCTTCCCCTCGTGAGTCTTTAAATGTTGTATTACATGTTGTTCCTGAAACGCGAAAGTAAGAGAAAAATTTATTAAGTATTATTTGCAACGAGTATCAAATAAAATGTGTGGAAGTATCCTCACTTTCTTAAATTTCTTTCCACATGTGGGACACGCGTATCCAGCGTCGCCGCAGGTGACTTCATTTTGGTCACCTTTAGAAAAAGAACCTATTATATGTGAAAAACTTTAATTGCATATTGTATCGAATTATAAACTATAATAATAATTACATATCACTCATTTGCTATGACATAACTTAAAAATTGTCATTTTTTAATTGATTGAAAAATTAATGATTCAAAATATTGAAACTTATTTTTTGAAAAATTTTTTCTTTTAAATTATGCTATTGTTTTAGGAAATATAATATATTGAATTACTTATTAATTAGATATAACGATTACTTGCCTGAATTGTGTCCAATGTGGGCTACTCTCATATGTACCATTAAGCTGCCTCGCATTTTGAACACTTTAGAGCACAGATAGCAAGAGTAATTCTTAAGAACTTGCTCTGGACTATTATTCGAATCCTGCTCGTGCACTAATTGTTCGTGTAAAGCTAAAATGTTGGTGTCAGGAAAGTGAAAGCCGCATAAGTTACACCTTTCCGTTTTTTCCTTCGATGCTATCGTACGAATGGCTTTGGCACTTGTTTGCGTGTGAGGTAACATTTGCTTGTGTTGTAAATTTTGATTTTGATCCCCAGCACTTGTTTCGAGTATCGTGTTCTTCGCATTAGACAATTCCTTATCATTGCGCTCTTCCAATGACTTTCTTGCACAGACATTTGCGATTATATTTTGGACTGATTGAAAATTAGAGAGATCATGTTCTTCCTCAATTAAATCTGTTATCAGTTTTTCTTTTAAGACATGATGACTACTGTTCGATTCAGTGCATTCTTTTTCAATATCTTGATAGATGTTGGCGTCCACAGTTCCTGCCACCTTTGTCGCAATAATTAAATCTGAAATAGCTGTTTTCTCCGCCTGCATAGCTTCCTGGGATACATTCAAATGCTTAATATCATTACAAAAATACTGCACTGTACAATTTGTTTCCTGTTGCAGATTTGCGATTACTTTCTGGACTGTGTTGTGATTCTCGTTTGATTGCGGAAGAATGTTCACTTTTATCACGTCATGATTGTAATCTGATACGAAACTAGATTGACTCGCGCCTTTCATTGATGAATCTAGGCTTTGCGTTTTAGACTGAGAATCTATAGCAGAGATATTTCCTACATGCGGCACATCAGAATCTGATAATTCTGTGCAAGTCCTGTTGTTGCCACTTTCAACTTTATCTAATTGCTTCAATATGTTCCAGTCCTGGGGTGCAATGTTGTGCGCGTTATGGATGGCGACCAGATGCTCATCAGTAGCAGTGATGTCCGCAGATTTAGACGATTCTGCTGTAGCATTGTTCAGATTGATCGTATGACCAAATAAATGTATAGTTAATTTATCTATGCCTAACAATACTTCGTTACAGATAGGACATATGAGGGGTCGAGTCGCTACACTTACAAGTCCAGCTCGTAGCGCGTCAAGCGTTAGGAATCCAGGTTGCGAACACAGCGGACATGCCAGGACTCGTGCACACATTTTGTGTATTTGTTTTATTACCACGGAATCTGATATTGTTTTCTAATCATGTGTTGCGCAACTTTATCAATCTCTATAAAACATGGCACATCTTTGCGTTTATAACTATACCACTATACTGCTTGGTTTTAATATCTTCACGGGGTAGTTGACCAAGTGCTGTGGTCGTGAAGTTGCAACAATAAACAGTACGATCATGTAACTTAAAGCTGACATTGTGTAATCTGATTGAAATTCCTGAGATTATACTTGAACTTGATTTAGTAATCTAAAGTGGAGGTTCAGGATATGCTTTGATAACGATCACTCCAATCCCAAATTTTACGAATTATAGACTCTGCACTGATACCGCGTACACAAAATTCTCGCACCTCGAAGTCTAAATATAGAAGGACGGTGATGGTTTGAGATATTCGTGCTGAATTCCTGCGTGTCTTTATGGAGCGTATCTGATGATCTTCAAGCTATATTTAGACAAACGGTGGGATATTCAAAGTATTATGAGCGTTAATCAATGTATTTATTAAAAATTGTTTGAATTATCAAGATTACAAACTACAATCATATAAAAATCGAAGTCATTTCGGTGCAAAAATGCTATCCTATAAATACATATTATAATAATTAACATTTATATGGCATGCCATCTTTGCAGCAATATTCTCTACCGGCCGACAGATTCGTGTTTATCCATTCATCTTTACAATTCTTGATGAAAAGATAAGCCTGTAAAAAAATATCATTAAGATGATATGGTTTCAATACACAAAATAATTTTGTTTCATAATCATTTCAAATAAAAATATAATAAAAATTAATTTATGTATATATATATGTGTACTCACTCTTTCTTTGTGACAATCACGATCGATAGAAGCACATAGAACTACTTGACTGTTTGGTAAATGTTTCACTATCTGGGAAATATTTTAACTTAGAAGGATAATACAAATTAAATTATTAATTACTAATAATTAATTATAAAATATTAAGGATATATAATTTCTTAACGATTAAAATTTAAACTTACAACATCAAGACATTTGCTGACACAAAGTTTGTTCCCAATAGTAGTACATGGAATTGGATCAGGATATTCTTGGATAAGTGCAGGATATCCTTTGGGTTGTTCTGTGCTGCCTTTCTTAAATTGTCCGCTTAAAAATATGGCACAGACGCAGCCAATTGGCTGTTCTTTTGTATTCGTGGATAACTTAATATTTGTAACAGTACTATTATTTTCTGCATAAGAACACGATATACAAAGAGCCATCATCACTAACGTTAAATACATTTTGATCTGAAATGTGAATTACTACTGCTATTAACATTGCTTTCTGTTCAATCTTAGCTATATTAGCCAGATTAAGTTACAAACGATTCTTAAATATTTAAAAAGATAAAATGAAGAATATACCTTGATTCTGAGAATCCGCGATTTTGAATTTTAATAAATAAATTAAATTAGTTTATATTTACTGCAAAATTCTTTTCACCGAACTACACTGTATCACCTCACAAAACTCCACTCAAATATAAAGCCGATGTTTTAACCCTGTCACATTATGTCGCAATGTTCTCATGAGCCATATTTGGAATGCTTGCTAAGCGAAAACCTTAAGTATCATGCAAGAGTTCTATTTTAACTGTTTATACTTATGATTGGGATATATCTTATGTACACATCAGTAACAGACAAATTTTAATTAAAATTTCGATGATATTCAGATAAAATTCTTCATAATGAGAAAATTAAAAATAATTTCAAACTACATATAAATATCTATTTTCTATAATTATTAATATACATGTTAATAGAAAGGTATTTATACATGCATATTATGAAACATTTTAAGTTTTACTAAATTTTTTATTAAATATTTCTATAATTCTATATTACGTTATAAATATTTTTACAGTGTAAAATGATAAAATATTACAATATCTTTCTCATAAGTTTAGCTTCTCCTTCTAGTACGATTCTATCTCCATTAGCAATACACATGTACACGCATTTAATGATTTTTCTTACTGATGTAATTTTAACTATAACTTCTACAGTATCGCCAGCATAACACGGTTTAGGAAAAGCAATATTTTGTTCGATAACTATAGTACCTGCACCAGGTAATTTTGTACCAATTAAGCTTGACACTAGACCATTGAGCAAAGCACCATGAGCAATATTTTTTGCTGATTCAGTATGTATTGGATTGTAATCGCCTGTTAATTCAGCAAACTTGAGTATATCGTCATTTGTTATTACTTTCAGAACCGACACTTGATCTCCTTCTCTCAAACTGTTCATTGTTGTGTCAGCGAATGATCGTATTTTGGTGGTTCTTACAGAGTGATTTTTGAGAAACCCAGCAAAGAATTGAATTAGCTTCATGATATTACTTTCTATACTCACAAGTTACTCAAAAATATCAATTTAAATCAATAAAAGACATTATATTCAAATTAGGTTTATTTTTTACAAACAGACTGATTCTCTGCCTTCACTTTCTCTACAGCACTCGTTTCACAACAGTCATTTAGGAATAACGTTGCTACGTTTTTAACACGCCCATGTTCATATGATGAATCCGAAAGTTCCAGCATGCGTTTAATTATTTTAGGCGATGTTATCTCGTCTACTGATTCAGGTGTTACCAAAAACATCAAGGTAGTAATTACTCCAAGCAAAACATCTTCGTCTTCGGAAGAAAGTAACGACGATATTGACTCAACACCTTGATTGCGCAGAATGTATAACTTATTTATTCCATCTGAAAAGAATATTACATATAATATAACAAATATTATATGACTCTTTGCATGTAACAAATATACTTACCTAAACATAAATTGCAGAGACCACTAATACCAAAACGTACTAACTTTGGATTGCTTTGAGATAAAGCATTAAGAAATAAATTAATTACGTTTAACTGTCTCATGTATCCATAGTTTACAGGATCATATGCAAAATTTGCCAAATTTGCCAGTACTTGCTCCTGTGCGTCTGATAATTTGAAAGACATTGATTAATTATTATTACACAGATTATACATCTATCAAGAGACGCAATAATTTTATTGATAAATTTTTATTCATATTCTTTTGTAAGCGATACTATGGTTAAATATAATTAGAACATATAAGTCCTGATGATCTTGGGACTTTTCCTAATTTTTAAATAGAAACGATTTGAAATAATTTTATATTTTTCATAATTTTATTTTGCAGTTTTAAACTTGAAAACTAAAAAAAATAAAACTAATAACAAAAACTTTATAGTAAGTCCCAAGAACACCTATGTTTCTTTAGCGTTAAAAAATATGTTCCTGTTATGAGTTAATCTTTTACCTTTAGACGATGTTGTTGTATACTCAGTGACTAAAAGCTTTAAAAAATCGTAACGTCCAGTAGGATTCTTCCCTGTGCGTTTTGTTAATCTTGCCCTACTGGAGAACATTTGAGTCTCAATGTACTTTATTTATATTATTTATAGTATAGACATTCTTCTGTTACGATATGTTCTGCAAAAACAAAGTTGATTTTAAGATGGAATTATTGAACTTATGTACAGATAAGAATATATAATAATTACACAAATTATAATTAAACAAAATTAAACTATTTATTTGTTGTTTCAAGTCTGCAACGTTTGCAAATTGTGAAACATGTACAATATATAAACCTTCAGCACTCTATTCGTTTCACTCATAAACGTTTTTTACATTTAAAACTATTTAAAATAAAAGTGTTTCTAATACTACTTGAGGAATTTGCGCCTTCAATCTCTCCTTGAGGTTATATAACGCCTGTCTTTATACTTTTTATTTCGCGTGTTTGCTTACATAGTTCTGTTTGTTCTTTTAATAAATTTGAATATTAACTTTGTTCCACTATTATTTTGTCATTAACAGATTTTCTTTTTTTTTCGAACCTTACGATTTGAAAACTTCCTTTTAGTGTTGTATTGACATTACAAGAAGAAAATTAAAAGTCGAACGATGATAGTGTTGCACTCTACCTAAAATTCTGGAAGTTGTGAACTAATCTCGAACTTCCGTTGCTTTTAAAACACGCGGGATTTCTTTTGTCAAGAAAAACAAATTGTTTACCACAAATTGTTGACACAATATCGTTGAATTAGGGAGCTTTCCAGCAGAGACACAAATCGACACAAGAGTCATTCTGTCTTTGTTTCTTACTGATTATCGAACAAGGAAAGGTCTCTTAAATCTCAGCATCATCAAAAGAATTATGATAACTAAGATATATTTTATTATCACAATTACTGTATCATAAAGCAGATTAAACACAATAATGTTAACTTGAAACATAATAGCATTTAATTGGTAGATAAAAACAGCACGATTTTTTAAAAATAACAAGTGATTATTAATTGATATCCAATTATCAATTGATACCCAATTCCCTAATTGCCAATTATTGATTAATTTCATATAGGATTTTCTGATTGGTTTGTCCAGTCGAAAGACTACAAACACCTGTAGGGTATTTTTTTCATACTGACGTTCGAAGCTCATTTTTAGCATCAAAACAGGTGATAATGAAAATTGACGCTTAATTTCGTCAGTTTTGACCATGTGGCCTATTTTGTCGCTAAAAATGAGCGTCGAACGTATGAAATTGCATAATTGTAAAATTGCACCTCGAGGCTAAACGAGCGATGTATGGTGCGTTCGGGGAGACGCTAATAGCGCTATTCTGTCATTCTATCTTCGTTGTTTATTAAACGTAAAACAAGGATAGAATGACACAAATAGCGCTAATAGCGTCTCCCTGAACGCACCTATGGTATCGTATGTTCGAAGTTCGAACGCATCGACTTCCTGTCTACTGCTGCACCCTGGTGTCCCTGGTGCGGATTTCGCAGTTGCTGCGGTGGAAGTGATGGTTAACACGTAGCCGGCGTTCGACGTGTCCTAGCCTCCCAAGTTCAGGTGTGCAGCGAGACATTTGATAATTCGTTGCGCCCCGCTCTCGACTCGCGCACGGGACCGCGGGTGTTTTGGAGGCACATATGGCGAACGCGCCACGTTGTGAGTATCGATAATAAGCGGATATACATACGGTGCGTCGCACGTTTTAACGCGCTCGTGACGGACGCGGGCCAACGGGAGAACATGTTATCGAACAAGTCGTCGTTGTCGTCACAGCAGCAGCAATTGCCCTCGTCGTCCTCTTCGTCGTCGTCCTCTACGTCGTCAGCCAACGCGAAGGTCATGTTTCCCGATAAGAGATCGACGACCAAACAGATGAAGTCCTCCACGCTGACGAACGCCGCTGGCCTGAGCTCCCTCATCACCTTCACCGTTCTCTTGCTTGCTTGGATCTCGGGTTTCGCCTCGAGACTTTTCGCGGTCATACGCTTCGAAAGCATCATACATGAGTTTGATCCCTGGTACGTAACCTGGTGTGGGATCATTCAACATGGCCATGTGACGTGCATTATCAATTTTTGATAAACTATCATTCTATTATTTTCCCGTTACATAACGGAAGCCTGAGTTAGTAGCCAATGCTTCGAGCATATCCGGGAAATGTAGGAGAACGAGTATCCAGATAGTCAATTTTAGAGTAGATTTCTATCCGCTGTATCTTCCTTATACTTGCGGTTTTCTTGTCAGCTATAATTTAACAGTGGAAATGCAGCAGAAATAGAGCATATTGTGTCATATCTGTTTTCTATCCCTGTACTAGAACTTTTCTTCTTGCTTTAGGCTAATATTACATTTGTCATACGATAAATTTTTCAAACGTGTTAATTGGCTGCAAGACAGAAATCTTGGATTTCTTTATCTTATAGCCAGTATAGTCAATCAACATATGACAAATGTAATATCAGTCTAGAGTCCCTGTTTTAACGACCAGTATCTTTAATATTAGCTGTTTTCCTTTTAGGAGACACAGTCGACACAAACGTCGTTTTATCCTTCTTGACATTCAATGAAAAACAAAGATAGAACAACACTTTGTATCAACTTAGCTTTTTTTATATATATAAAATTGACAATGTTACGACATTGACATATAAAAGTTAAGAATATTGTCCTTAGCCATAATATTAAATATACCTATTTCACTTTAAACTTTAAATCTTTTTTATAACTGAATTAGTTTGGAATGAAGGTATGTTTGATATTTGGCTAAAGTGAGAAAAAAGTTCTAATACAGAAATAAAAAATGAATCCGTGAAGTTTCAAAAGTGTATATTAATTTAGCTATAGAAAATTTATGATTTTATAATGTATGGTTTGCTTGTTTTCTGATATATTTTTACAGATATCAGAAAAACAGCAGATTGTATTATTACTGCTTATCAAACATAATATGCTAATACACAGTACCTGTTCTTAGCTGGTACGACTATTAGGATATTGATAAATTAAATAATTTAAATAGCTTAAATTTAGGTTAAAGGATTTGTTTATTTCTGTTTTGTTTATTTTGCCTATATATTGATTCATTTTTATAAGTAAATAACATTAAGAATTTTTGACTAATTAGCAATGAGATGTAATAAATGTTTTAAATTCAGGTTTAACTACAGAGCGACAGCGTACATGGTTCAACATGGATTCTACAATTTTCTAAACTGGTTCGATGAACGGGCCTGGTATCCGTTGGGCCGGATCGTTGGTGGAACCGTCTATCCTGGACTTATGATAACATCTGGATCAATACACTACATACTACACTCTCTGAATATCCCAGTGCATATAAGAGACATATGTGTATTTCTAGCTCCAATTTTTAGTGGCCTTACTGCCATATCTACATATTTATTAACGAAAGAAATATGGAGTGCTGGGGCCGGCTTATTCGCCGCTTGTTTCATCGCCATCGTACCTGGCTACATCTCGAGATCCGTAGCTGGGAGTTACGACAACGAGGGAATCGCAATCTTTGCATTGCAAATTACCTACTACCTTTGGGTTAAATCAGTCAAAACTGGCTCAATCTTTTGGGCGAGCATAACTGCCCTATCTTACTTCTACATGGTATCAGCATGGGGAGGCTACGTGTTCATTATTAATCTGATTCCACTCCATGTGTTTGCCTTACTGATCATGAATCGCTTTAGCAATCGATTGTTCACGAGTTACTCTACGTTTTACGTTCTTGGACTTCTATTAAGTATGCAGATACCATTTGTTGGTTTTCAGCCGATTAGAACTTCTGAGCATATGGCAGCTAGTGGTGTATTCGGTCTGATAATCTTTGTGGCAGCTTTTAGGTACGTACTGTTTTTCTAACGTTAATTTGTTCATTTGTTATTGTATTATTTTAATTTGTAGTATTTACTCATAGTAATACTATCATGTTCCTAAAATATATAGCTAATGGAAATCTTTCTGTTTAAATTGACAAGACGTAGAAATAAAAGTTAAAACAGAATTAAAGGGCTTGATCACAAAATCCATTCCTAACAAATTATAAAAATAGTATAAACTGAAAAACTTAAGAGTTACAATCATTATATTTTAATTAGAAATATTTACATTTTGTTATTATATCCATATCAAATAATGCTTGCAATTATTTGAATTTTGAAAGTATTTACTATTCTGCAAATTTATGTTTGTAATTGATATAAAAATGATTGTATTATTACAAATAAATGTAGAAAAAATTTTTTTTATTAGAGTACATTTTGGACATACTGTAATATACGTTGCAGTATACTTACATTGAGCTTTCTAATTGCAGATACTTAAGAACTGTACTTACCAAGTCCGAAATGAAATATTTCGGTGGTGTGGTGGCTGTAACAACTACTATGCTGCTATTAATTTTGATCGTCTTAACGTATACTGGCGTTGTCGCTCCTTGGAGTGGTAGATTTTATTCATTGTGGGATACCGGTTATGCCAAGATACATATCCCTATAATAGCATCTGTATCGGAACATCAGCCGACAACTTGGTTCAGCTTTTTCTTTGATTTGCACGTTTTGGTTGCATTGTTTCCGGTTGGTCTTTGGTACTGCATTACACATGTCAATGACGAGCGTGTTTTCGGTAAGAATCTACTGGTATGATGAGAGTGTGTCTTGGAATAAAATATCAATAAAGAAAACTAATATTCGATCTTCTTGTAGTTGTACTATACGCCATAAGTGCCGTTTATTTCGCTGGTGTGATGGTAAGGCTTATGTTGACTCTGACTCCGGTGGTGTGTATGCTGGCCGGAGTCGCTGTCAGTAGACTCGTAGAACTGTTCCTCAAAGAGGAAGACAGAGACGGTAACGGTAATGAGAGTAACGAGGAGAGCGAGGAAGAAAGAGAGAGAAGTCCCGGTAGAGCGTTGTACGATAAAGCCGGTAAACTTCGCAGAATGAAGCATGAGAGATCAAAAGGCAACGGTGACGGATTAGGTCCGAATCTTCGTAATGTCATTGTTCTCGGCATGTTGATGCTGCTGATGATGTTTACCGTGCACTGCACGTGGGTGACTAGTAATGCTTATTCTAGTCCATCTATTGTTTTGGCGTCCTACAGTAACGACGGTGGCAGGGCCATATTGGACGATTTTCGAGAAGCTTACTATTGGTTAGCACAAAACACCGCCAATGACGCTAGAGTCATGAGCTGGTGGGATTACGGATACCAGATTGCTGGTATGGCTAACAGGTACAACGCTTATATCACTTTATACAGGATTATAGAAAAGATTATAGAAAAGATTCGTGTTTATCAAATTATTAGTAACTTATATTTTAAAGAATAAATTTTAGAGTATCACCTTGTATATATTATAATAATATATGAAATTAATTTAACATTACTGTATAAATTTTCTTTTGTAGAACTACCCTCGTGGACAATAATACATGGAATAATTCGCACATAGCTCTGGTCGGCAAAGCGATGAGCTCGAACGAAAGTGCTGCTTACGATATTATGACATCCCTGGATGTGGACTACGTGTTGATCATCTTTGGCGGGATGATTGGATATTCCGGTGACGATATCAACAAATTCTTATGGATGGTCCGTATCGCAGAGGGTGAACATCCCCAGGACATTCGCGAAAGTGATTATTTCACCGAAAGGGGGGAATTTCGTGTGGATTCTGAAGGTTCTCCAACTCTTTTGAACTCGCTAATGTATAAACTGAGTTATTACCGGTTCGGGGACGTTAAAATAGACTATCGGTCGCCTTACGGATATGATCGTACTCGTAATGCGGAAATAGGCAATAAAAATTTCCAGTTAACGTATCTGGAAGAAGCTTACACTACTGAGCATTGGCTTGTCAGGATTTACAGGTGAATGACACGTTTCAGCTTAAAATTTAATGTATCATTATCTTTTCATTATTGTTATAAAATATTCTACATTAATATTAATTTTGAAATGTGTCCATAGGGTGAAGAAACCAGCGGAATTTAATAGACCAATAATTCCGATCTCCGAGCGAGTTATCACGCGTCGCGCGAATTCGTATGTTACTAAAAAGGTTGGTATGCATGTATATATTTACGGTCTTACGATACAGAATGATAGGTATATTTTTTTTAATTATGCAATTTCTCGTATCGTTTTGCCGTTTTTATCGTGACACATTAATTGATCTGGAAACGTAGTTGAAGTTATGGGGCGTCGGGCATTGATGTTTCAGACTTCACGGCGTAAGCGAGGTGTCATAAAAGGCCGGCCAGTTGTTATTAAAGGGCAGAGACCTCAACGACGAACGACGTAACGAAGATTCGCTGACTATTTCATAAACAGTTTGCAAATACAACTTTTGTAATAAAAGAATTACCGTCCCTTGGGTCTACCACTATACCTCGAACTAAGAATTTAATGTCAAAACAGTTCAACCGACTTGAAGAGTAGAATATTCCAAAAATGATAGTTTTCATCATCTCCAGAACAGGTTGACAGATTAGTAGTTTTATGAAATATTGTTTTCAAAAATCTTTTCTCATAATGTTTGGCTCATTGCACATTGTTATTCGTCCTTCATTTATTATTCTTATTGAAAAGTCTTCGGTTATTTATTATATAATTACATCATTTATTAATGTAAAATTTCTTCGATTTACTATCCAGATCATACGTAATCGATATAATTGGATCATTATATGGATATTTATACGAGTATATATTTATTAGAGAAAGTCACAAAAGTTTTCTGCGTTCTGTAGGAATTAAATTCCACATTTAATCATTTTTTATGAGCCAATTGTGCATTTAATAGCTAATGATGTAAAATAACTTGAAAATAACTTGAAACTGACTTATTTGTTATCGATCAGCAATTGTATGAAGGTCTCAACTCATGTAAATTGAAACTCGTAAGACATCCTAGTTAGTGTACACACACGTTTATGTTACATAATACGTTTATTAATATATTACACGGTATTGCATCGGGTGAAGTTTATCGAAATAAGCAAACTTCCGCCGATTTTCAGCCGGAACGTCGGAACGATTGAGTGTATGTCATGTGTACACAGTTTGTTGTATAGCACCTTGTTGAAAGATAAACATTTGTAATAACACAGTGTTGTTATTTATGAAATATGCATTTAAAATGCTAGTCCAATTTAATTTTTGTTTCATCTAATGAGAGAAATCTTTTCGACAATATAAATTAAATATAAAAATTGCGCGTACAGCTTTGTTTTTTTTTTATAAAATAAAAATTTTTTTATAATATAATATAAAGGAATTCTAAATATGTTACGAAGCATTAGCGATTCAGAATTTTTTTTTTTCTATAACCTATAAATTTTGATAGATAATACATAAAATAAATTGCATAATTACATATATAGATATAATTGCAAACATTATTTATGAACGTATCATTTGTTAACACTTGTAATTTCTGGGATTTAAAAATTTTCAGTTCGGCGATACGGAAGCACGAATATTGGCTGCGTTCAGCAAACTCAATTGTTGCGGAATGGATCAGTGAGCTCTCGCTGCTATTGGATAATCTAAAAGAATACACCAATAACAACGAGCGCTCACGGATCCGCTCCACAACAGTTGAGTTTGCTGAACGCGACCATTATCGATCTATGTATCAATGCATCAACAGGTGGATAACATATTTAAATCTATTTTTTGTAGTTACGATTTATCAAATTTTTTCTTGAATCGACAGTTTTATATCCATTTCGCAAGCGAGAAATAATTTACTCATTTTACATAACGGCTAATAAATTATGAATCCCAGATAATTTAATCTTCGCGACGGATCTATGAACTATTTTGTTGAAACTGATAAAGGAATTTTCCATATCAATTGCCGTAATCAAATCTACGGAAAAACAGTCGCATGTATATTTAATACAAACACGAGAAGCTCGATAAACGAGAGAAGAATAGATAGAGGTCTTAAGACCATTACATAATTTTTTTTTCTTCAAATGGCAATCTTATCAACCATAAAAGTTGAAAATGATAGTAGTTGCACCAGAAAAGTCGAGTGAGAACGTATACTATATATGAAGAATTTTAAAATAGATGTGTAGAGACTTTTTCGGCATTTCTGAAAAATGTTCGAATTTGTATAAAAAATCTGAGAAATTTTCTAAAAAATTATAAAATTATTTAAAAATTTTGAAAAATTATACGAAATTCTGAGAAAAAAAAATTTTTCACAATAAGGAGAACATATTGAGAAGAAGTCGAAAATACAACGATTATGCATGATGACTGTCATATTTGAACACGAATCACGCGGTTGATGTTTAAATATTAAACCATTGTTTAGTCACTATTGTTTCTTGATAATCAGTTCAGAGAAGATAAAAGATAGGTATGTATATGCATAAAGAGACGTTTGAGGAAAAAAGGGGAGATAAAAAATTCCATTACAAAGAACATATTAAGATGTCTTTGCGCTGTTATGCTTTTTGTACTTAAAAAAGTAATGGATACGTAATCATACATTAGTGAGATAAAGAAAAACAAAAAAAAGTGCAAAAAGTTCAACTACAAAGAATGAATATAAATTCACACATGGTCCCCCTCAGGCATGAAGCAACATTGACATAGTTGGATGAATCATTTTCACAAATTCGCAGTTAGATTTTGAATCATTCGAACGAATGGGAAGAATCTTTGAGCGGTTCTTGGGATTCTTGGCATTCGAAAGTTGGACAAGAAGGTAGCCGATTCATCGGCTCGTACCGATTTCTTTTCATCTCTTTTTCCAGCATTATTTCTAGAGCGTTCGAGGCGTAATTTACATTGAAATAATAATTCATAGAAGTCTCGGAAAAAGGAAAAATTATCGCTCGTGCTGTATGTACACCTCGGCGTACAGGTTATGTTCTACAAAGCGCAGAACGATCTTTTGGCCACGTGGCGCGAACTCTCGCTCGACATACATTCCGTCTGCGGTGTCATCTACAATTATTAATTCAACGTGGACTGAATCCGTGATAATTATCGCTCGAAGATTCAGGGATTTTTTGCCCAAGCTCCGGGGACTGGCCCGTGTTGTACCGTGCCGCAGCGCGGCCGCCATTTTGCTGCCCCCGCACGCCTGACATGTCTTTCTAATGTTATTATCGACAGACGTCGAAATTTTGCGCGTGAGACCGTATTGTGTTTGCCACCCGTGGTGAGCGAGTCCGCGCACGAGGGGCAGGGAAGCTCGGTGCCGTGGCACATTTCGACGGGACGTCCGCCCCCGCTGTTGTCGCCTTTGTTGAGAGCGATCGCTGGTCAGTGTCGTCCCAACCTCAACCCTCCTCCCCCTTCCCTCGAAGTCGAGCCTGTAAACGTCGTGAACGAGAGCTGGTGAGAGGTGATAGAGCTTGCGTCCGCGAGCAATCTCGAAGTCGATTATGCCGCGAGGTCTGTCCCGGGAGTACTTCCGGTTGCCTCGCTGAGATCGGGAACACGCCGTGTCCCGCCGCCTCGACGTGACGTGACGTGAGCGAACCTAACCTAAAAAGGAGGAAAAAGAAGGCACAGGAAGAAAGATCCTGACCGTCGAGCGCGTGTGCCTATGCCAACGGCGGGGAGATCACTCTCTGGTGATATGGCCACGCTCCCAGTCGCGATATCCTCGAGACGCGCCACTCCAGTAATGCTGCAGACCAACTCAACGTCCGCCCGATGCGCGACGACGACGACGATAACGACGACGACGCAGTTGTTCAGACATGTGTAGGGTACGCTTGGTGTAGACTACTATGCGAGGCAAGGATCGTTTTTGTCCTCATCTAGCAATGGACTAAGTTCACGCTTACTGCTCGAACCAGGGAACTCTACGTTTATAGACCGCATTCACCGAGGCATTCACGAATAGCGTTGAGCGGTGTTGACAATGCGATTTGAATATTAATTCTGTATTGCGTAGGCAAACAAAGCCGTTGAATGGGCATTATTGTTTTGTAAGCCTTTTGTTAATTCAATTAATGCAAATTCCATGACTGTGTACATTTAGAAAAGGATACATTAGTGTATAACATATCGATATACTTAAATGTGACTGGTATATCATATTAATTTAGCTTATATTGAGTTATGTACGGTATAGAATAGTACTGTTTATGCAAATACGCTTGGATCTTTTTTTTTTACTTGATTAACTTGGCAATAGAAAATATCTGTGATACAACATGAAACATATTTTTTAAATTTTCTTACATACAGTCTCAGTATTACATTTTTCTAATCAAATGGTGTAGGTTATACTTGGATCTTGGCACATAGCGTGAACTAAGTTTGATCTAGATAGGAAGAAAGTTGACTTGGAGGATTTGAGAATGCAGGTAGAACAGATCTGGATAGAAGCAGCAATCAATGAAGGTCCCAATTTCCGAAAACTCAAACATGGACAATAAATTGAAGTTTTCGGACCGCTTGAAGGCTTTGCTGAAAACCGAGGCACATCAAGATGTTGATCCATACATTTTCAGTGAACCAGAACCATTTGCTACAGCAGGGGGAAGACATGCCACGGTGGTTCCACCGACAAATTCCGAAGTGATGCAAAGTTGCAAGAACAACAAGTCAAAGGGAAAATGCGTGAAACAGAGGATAAGGGTAGCGCCTGTTCCAGTCGCAGGCTACAAGTTTGTCGGGGTCAATGCCACGGCGGAGGCAAACGTCAATGATGTCATTGGGGTGAATTTGGATCACAAATTTTCTAATTTAGTTCAGTGTAAACAACGACACATTGAGAATTTGCAGAGATTGCGACCTAGGAGGCCAAGTCGGGACCACACGCTGTTGTATTATCCGAGGGCCGGGGACGAGATATCTGACAGCGATTCAAGTGGAGACGAGTTGATGATACATCAGCGTCACTGGTTTTTCGGCGAATCTACTGCATCACCAAATCGAGCGGCTCGGCTTACCCAATTGCGTTCGCAGCTACAACGACAGTTGCTTCAGTTGCGTATCGATGGTGCTGACGCTGAAGCTGTTCTGCGGCACAGGGTCAGATGTTTGCTGGATGCCGCTTCCAAAGATCCTACTTCTACCGCGCGAGCTTTGTGTGACTCTCCAAGTACCAGCAAGGTACTCGACGGACCGTTATTAGTTGGCGGGCCATGTGGGGCGGAGGGATGCCAACAAATATCTTTGCCTTGTACCCGACATTGTTCCCGCCACATTATGTTAAACGGAGATCAGCTTTTATTTGAGCATTGCACTGCCAAGTTTAGTGACAACACACAGTGTTGTGTTCCTGTGTTTGATGTCGCGCACGAATTACCTCTTTGCCCAGAACATGCGAGGAAGAGAGACAATTATCACCGTAAAATCCAAGAATCTAAACCAAAGAAAGCTCGTAAAAAGCCTCCAGTCTCCCCTCCTATCCCGGCGAAGCCTAAACCCAAGTCTAAGCCGAAGAAACGTAAACGACCACCCTCTAATAAAATAGAGACTACCAAGAGTGTGGCACTGATGCCCGAGGAGAGTCATTTCATGAGCCAAATAAACTGTAGTGAAAACCATACCAAGATGTTGAATAATTTGAATGTTCCGCAAGGAAGTTCAAATACGTCTAACTTAAATCTAGGATTGGGATTAGGCTCTCTTGGTCTGAGCGGAGGACTCAAAGTCGAGCTTGGGGATAATGAAGTATTCGCTTCCTTGGATTCTGCTGAGCATGACTTTGGCAACGTGCTCAATAACTTGCCCCCGGATGCTTTTAACGACTTATTTATCGGTAATTGCAACATCCATATTTTTGGTGCATTTTGTAAATCTCGAGATTGCACAGAACTCGTTATATTTAATTCATAAGATAATGTAAGATGTGTTTTAATTTATAGAGGGTAGAAACGGAGATTATGAGCCGTCGAGAGAAGAAGAGGAGGAATTGCAACGGGCTTTGGAAGAAGTTGATAAAGATGTACGAAACTTGGAGAGAATGGGGCAGACGCATGGACTTTTAGAGCCGGCCTTGCTTGCCCAGCTTATGTCGGACATTGCCTCGTAGCCCCACCAATCCTAATGTAATAATTTTTCGGAAAGGAATTCGTGCGTGTTCCTTGTAATGTAGAAAGAAATACTGTTTGTGTCTGTGCTGCTAAACGTAAGATTGCGTTATAGACTGTTATCACATAGCCACGCAAGTCCGAGATAATGGCAGGGATTGACATACAGAAAGTAACAAAAAATAAAAAAAAAACAATAGCAAATTTATGAATTTAGTATAAACAGCATCGGGTACAACACAGGTAGGTTTATGTTAAACAAGTAGCAGTGTAAAAACCGAGAATTCCATCCTTTTTGACAAATAATCACGGACGTTCTGCGTTATTATTACATTTGCAATACATGCATTATATTTGTAGCTTATTTGCAGATACTTTGACTTGCACTTGACAAATTTGCTTAGGAAAATTGTTATAGCTGCAATTAATACATGCAATCATTTTGAAGGGTAATGAAATGTATAAGTAGAAGGGACGAGAGTGAGTTCAGAGTTCACATTAATGGTTCAAATTAGATTCCAATACACGCGAGCTAAACGAGACGCATAGTTTTCATTTTTATTCTAAATTATGTTTACTAATAGCTCCTATATTTATTGAACTACATGTAATATCTAGCTAATTACTGACTACTCAAATAATAGGTACAAAGGTATTTTTATGACTGATTTGTAATGATTTTATCTGTTATTGATTATACTGTAGCAACTGTGAGTAACATATTCTGATTTGCAAACTGGAGTTTAGCTCTACAAATTAAAGTACAGAATAATTGGAGTAAAACGATATAATATTTGAAAGAAATATTTGGTGTTCGTACATAACTGTATGTATATTTTATATATATACGTATATGTATAAAGTATACACACACATACATATATATATCATTATATTAGAGCAAATTGTGGTGGTAAAATTATTCATTAATTTGCAGAATGTAAAAAATGGTATTTGCATTATTTTTTCAATGGCGGCAATATATAAAAAAAAATGATGAATTTGATATCTTATGCAGTATCATCCTTTGAAAATATATTATCTAAATTTTATTTAAATAAAATACATTTTTCCACAATTTAATTTTCATTATAAAACCTTGTGCATATATAGAATATATGTTTATACAAACACACGACTGAATTTATAAGGAAAAAGAAGTATACATATGTCTACATAAATATATGTAATACGTAGTGTATATAATCACGTTTTTTTTCATAATCTGATTACTGCAATAACACAGTTAAATAATCACATTTATTATCGTTATATTATTAATATATGTGGATAATCAATATTGTCACTTTGTCCATTCTGTATTATATTCATGTAGACAAATGTTCAGCGATAGAGTAGCTGTAATATCTAAGTGAAGTAAACATTAGCGAAAAGTGCCGAAAATTTTCATTTTTTAACATTGTTACCGAATGTGCATCACGCTTTGCAGCCTTACAAATGAGAAGATGACACGCTGTGTATCAACTAAGTAAAGGAAACTTTTTATTATCACGTATATTTTTCAAGAGAATACTTTAATGTTCATTTGAGAAGAGAATTTTTTCTTTTTTTTTTTTTTATGAAAAGTATAAAGGCACGGATTCTGAAAGTAAAACTAGATCGCGGTATAATAGTGCGTGAATGGTTGAGTTACTTACTGCCATTTAATTCCTAAAGTACGTGCACAACAAAACATTGTTACAATTCCATTGTAATAATAGTAGTAATAAAACGAACGCGATACGCAGATATACTGTGGATTATCGTAATCTCAATACATATCGTAATAACTTGAAGAAACGAGAAAATGTAACACATTACGTAATTAAATACCGATAAAGAAAAACATTAAAAATGTTATTCATTATACGTGTGTGCGTAAGACGAGCAGATATAAAATACAAATATATCTGGTTTTTATTATCAAAATCGCTGTGCCAAATGTTGAGACATTTCTTTTTTTTCTTTTTTTTTTATGTTGCTACATAATGCGTGTCATTTGTTCAAGAAAAACGGGTCGCACTGGTGCAAAGCACACTACTAAGTAACGAACGTTTAGCTGAATGTGAGCGATTACAAAAAACGTAAATAGCGAGTTGATCGCACGTAGATGCAAACGGAAACGGAATAATTTGCAAGTCGACCCACATTGGGGATTAAATTAACGTCGTATGTATTGTTATTACGTATATAGCGCTAGCGATTAGGTACAATAATTATTTATGGACAGGACAATGCCGAATTTAATCGTAACGCATTGCTTGAAAATGTATCTATATGTGTATCTTCTTGTAAAATATCAGCATTATTACTCTTGATTAGGCATCACCAATTATAATAAGCATATTTTTTACATTGCGTTATAGCGTTCAGTTTATATCCACCCTTGTCATTCATATATCCTAACGATAATATCGGCTTGACAAAACGACTGGACTCGTGTATTTTATTTTTATATTGATAAATAAGAGACTCGAGAATATTATATTTTTAAATTGTCGATATTCTAGAATTTATATCCGTATTAATATACATGTATAAATACCATTTTAATTTCTTGTGAAATTCTCGTCGAATATCTCGTATAGATATGTAAGAATTTTATTTTCTGAACATTCAGTCTAAAGTTGTCGCTATAGAGTAAGTATCAGTCGCTTTGCGTTCACGTCGTCTTATCTCTCGAAGGATCCATTTTATTCGAGCTTTTTCGCGAATCTTATCATATTTCTCGTTTACCTCCTGAATTTCTTTCACTGGGAACTCGTCCATTATTTCGGGCAGGCTTTCGATCTCCTCTTGTTCCTTTGTACCACGAAAATAGAAATATTTTAGAGATTCGATCTTTCCGTGTATCCAATTAAGATTTGTATTTCTGTAAAAAAAAAAAGAGCGACCGGACACTTACCAAGATTTTAGTTACAAAGATACTCTTTCGTATCTCCAATGATTTTTTTTCGAGCAAAGCAGTTTCTGTTGGCTCCATTAGTTCTTCTGGTTCGTGCGGCATTAACATTATATCATAATCCGAGCGATTGTGACCCAGTATGCCCACTTTGATCTCCAACTGAGATAGCTTTTCCTCGTCGACGAGAAGAGCGTTCCTTAAATAAGCGATTTTTGGATGATGTATGTCGATATCTGCTATGCCTTTAAATGGAAGTACGAGTAACATATTTTTCTTGCTACGCAAGATGCATAGCTATCCTTTGCACAAATATCATAGTTTAGTAATAGACTAAGGATGACTACGACTAAACTTTGATTAACTTGATCGATTTGACTAACTTATCATTTGTACTATCTTGTTAATGTGAATAGAATTATTAATATTCTGTTATTTACATAAAATTAAATTAGAAATAATGAATTATATAAATAAGAACCAAAAATTATTTCTAGAACCAATAAGTACTTCTAGAATTTTTTATCTATATTAATATATATAAATATTGTTTTAATTTTTTGTGATTAATTTTAATTCTTGTCATGTATTAATTTTGTAATTGTGCCGGTTGAATTAATTGTCGATTAGTTAATCGAAATTTGGTCGAAGTCATTTCGTGAATATAGATATATGATTTTTATTTTAGATCTTAATACTTTAAATATCCTTAGATATACTATTTCTATAAATTACTCTGAATACAAATATACTATTTTCATAAAAAGTATATCACCTAATGATAGAAGACGATAGTCGCAATCCCCATATATCAGCTCGTGAGGTAAGGGGGAGTTTCTGAGCAATTTTCGTGTTTTTAGTGTTGTTTTAGGACCATGTAGTATACGAATATCATCCTCCAGCATATCCTGAATAAGCCGACTGCTGCTTTGTCTTTGCGCAGTATTGTACGCCTCAGTCCGGAGCAGCCTGTGCAGTTCCAGCTCTACGAGACAATGATCAATGATTCGGTAATCAGTTCTCAAATACCATAAGAATATCGTAAATTAGATATAATATACATTCAGCGTACAATGCTCTGAATTTTATAAACATTACGTATTATTTTTTTATGATATATAATATTTATAGTAAGATCATCATATATCATTATAGTGATATATATGATGTGTATAGTGTTCTTTGTATCATCGTAAAATAATATACAATGTTTATTTAGAACATTATATGCTCTTCATCGTACCGATCAGAGTGAAATGTTTCCGCTGTAATGCTATCCATACGACCCTATGAGCCACACTTATTAATGCCTCATAGATTCGCAGGTCTTTCTCGCCCTGTGATTGCGTGGCTGTGCGTTTCGAGTTGGTTATCATGTGGTGATAGCGAGGCCCATCCCGGCAGCCCAGCAGCAAGTCCGCGTATTCCCTGCCCAGGACACAACGTAGAGTATGCATTTCGTCGGCATATCGGGACCTATGTCCACGTGCCAGTGGATTAGGCGCCTTCCTCATGGTGGCCGCTCGTTCATGTCCCAGGTCCTCCCATATCTGCACGAAGCGTTGGAAGTAGATGATGAGTGCTCTCAAAAATTGGTCCACGACCGGCAAGTGGAAGAAGTTTATGAATTGTGGGCTGACGGACGTCACGAGGAGAAAGAGCACGAGGTCCTTGATGTCCTGCAGGATAATGATATCTGGCTCATCCGGCATGACTTTTCTCAGATAATTCTTCCGAAATCTGATCTACAATTGGAACAAATATAAATTGAAGACACTACTCTTGATATCGAGTTGACAAAGAATTTATATAGTTGTGGTCCAATTCTCACCTTTTCATTATCATTCAACATTTCCCGGTAGCATAAAATCAAATACGCGTGTGGAGAATAAATTTCTGATGTAGGGACGGCAGCAGTTCGCTTCCTTCGTCGCTTAGCTTGTTCTTCCTCTGCCTTTGCTGCACTAATCAATGAAATAAGGATTTACGCAGAGATACAAGGATTCACGAAATCATTTTTTCCCATAGTGAAAATTTTTCTCTTAACTTTTTAGAAAATTTCTTATTTTTTATACAAATTGAAATAATTGGATTTTTTATATAAATTGTATTTTTCATAAGTGCCGAGAGAGAGAGAGAGAGAGAGAGAGAGAGAAAGAGAGAGAGAGACAGTCTAATATATTTATATCTTTACTAAAATTTTTATATGTGAATTCTATGTGAAATATTCTAAGATTTTTAAAATTTCTCATTCTGTAACTTTAATGAAATATAAGATCTGAAAGATTTTATAAGATATCTTTATTTCTTTCTCAGGAATTATAAAATGAAAAATCTTAGAAAATCTTTACCAAGGTATTAAAAAAATTACGTTTAGAAGAAATATATAATTATTCGCAGACAAAAATAATTTATGTCGATCTTTCTGTATCTAAAAGTTCTATCATAGAATATTAAATTATATCGTACACTCATTTCAGATCAAGTTTGTAGCTTAAAAAACAATTTGACAAAAAAAAAACAGAAAATAGCTAAACCGTATTAAATATGGGACGAAAAATTCGAAGTTACTAAAATTACCTAAATAGAATTAATCCTTCCGAAATTTCATCCCACGCAAAGTACCTTTCACCCATATTGAATTATATCATATAATTTTTACGATTTCATTCATAGCAAATTTTCAGGTTATCAGTTTCTAGAAATAGACATGCTCTCCTCCTAATCACAATGAAGATATAACAAAGTCAAATTATTGATTCTAGGAAAATATAGTTCCCCACGCAAGTATATATACTTGACGCGCTTACTAGACTCCCAAATCTCTTAGAATAGTAGTTAGAGGTATTATTGGAGATTTCTGATCAAATTGCATGAAAGAGTACAATTATCTCGTTAAAACAATATTATAACGATACGATCATGGTTGTGCAAAAAATTCTAGAGGTCCATTCTTTTTGGAACTATAGTTCATCTTTCCTTTTTTTTCTCCGTGTAAAAAAAAGAAGATAAATCGTGCAACTATATACAGCTAAAAAGAATAGGTTTAAAATATATATCCAAGTTAGGAGTTTCTAGGAAAACTTATTCACTCTTATTAAGCGTTATTTATTTATATTATAATACAACATATTAGAAATGTGTTGTTTTCTTCCTTTCCACCCAAAAGGGAGAAAGAGAATCTAAAATCGGTTTGTCCTCAGGAAATATCGGATCGGTCGGCAGCTTCCAGAACTCATTGACACGAAGTTGTGAGGAACTCTCTGACGTCCAATGATGCAGACAACATCTCACCTTCACCTGTTCGCGATTATTAATCGTGATAGTCACATAAAATTCCTTTCCCTGTAGATCCAGGTTTGGTCCAGATATCGGTTTCTCAGGCATCGTTATAGTGTCCTCAGGTAGGTAAATACCAGCCTTGCGGAAATTTGCTTTAATATGCCACTTCTCCAATGTCCATGGCACGTCCTTCGACATCACTATGGACATCCGCTTGTGCGACAGATATTTCATTGTTTTCTCTACCAAGGAAGAACTGAACGGCTTATCGTTCTCCTGGTCTATCGCCAATTTTTTATACTTCTCAATGTTCTCGGGGGTAGCATAGTCCGCCAATTTCGGCAGTAAAAGCTTTGGATACGCTAACGCTGGATGTAGCGACACTCGAGTGCCCACATTGCCGAGTCCTGCCACGTATTGCGTCAGAATCAAATCGAGTGGTTCTTTTTTCTTTACATTAGTATCCTCAACAAGATCGTAAATGAAATTCCTTGATCTTAGGCGATGAGGCTTGCTATTCTTTTTGTGAAGAGGTACTGGATTCCTTCTCTTGAGAATAAAAGTGTTCTGCAAAAAATTAAACAAGAATAAGTACGAGAACAGTTTAACAATCTATATGTGTAGGAATCTATCAAGCTATCTCAAGAATTACAAAATACACAATTAGAAAATTTGGCCACTTGTATTATATTAGATTAATGCATATTCAAAACTGTTGTACATGAAATTAGCAAAATTAAATATATAAGCAAATAAATATTTATAAAAATAAATACTCAATAATTTAACTTCATAATTTAATTTAATTTATTACCAAAAGAAATACACTGATCGAGATGAAAAAAATAGACTAATTGATAATAATAATGTGACATTATTTAACAGAATATACACGAAATTAATTAGAACAAGATCACTATATGAATAAATCAACTAACATACATGTATTATTTCATTGCCGAAGTTAATATTATGTCACTACATTTAGATATTTTATATAAAGTAGCTTTTTATTGTACTAATTCAATGGTAAAAATTCAATATGGATGTTTTTCAGCAAAAAACAAGATGTTTTCCATTTATTGACACAATCGTCATTTTATCTTTCTATTTTAGACATTTAGTGACAAAGATAAATGGACACTTATGTCAATTTGTGTCATCAACAAATGAAAAGCACCAACAGATGACATAGTGTAACACAGTGAGTTATTATATTTTTGTTGTTTTCAAATGTTAAACAAAAATGACAAGATCATTGCATTATATTTCTTGCTGGAAAGAATTACATGTTAATGATTATATATGTAATAATAAAAGCAATTACTCGTGTTTGCTGTGACAAATAATCCGCATTACTAGACGACGTGGGAGTCGCCAACGCTTTCACGTGATTTACTAATAATCTTGGAAATTTGAGCATATTTATCATTTATCCTCACTCCGTTCTCAGAAAGTTTTATTTAATAAGTGCCTAATTATCAATAAAACAGATCGATTAGTTGAATAAAGTTAATTCGTTATTGACAAGAGGCGACTGCTAATTATTATTCAGTATTTGTATAATTAGGCTCTTTAAGAAATGTGTATATACATTTATTTTTAAATTATTACAAATACGAGTTTGTTTCATAAACATCCACTAGTTCAACATAACCTAATTACTATCTGACTCGAATCACTTGATAAATAAGCTGTTTGAAAATTACTGTCTCCTCTCGCGGGAATTAGCGCAACTTGGAAACACGCAGCGCCCTCGCAATAGGTAATTACACTACCGAATTTGCGCGGAAGATAAACGCTAGTGCGATAACTCAATTTGTGGCTCAGCAGGGCTCAGCCAGGCTCCGCTGTGCTCACTAATCAGTATCAAAAGGTTTGTCGCGTCGCAGCTCCAATATTCTCCAATGGCTACGTTTACACCGTGCATTTAGGCCGCGGCCTATACAATAGATGTCCTTGTTTATCCTATATATTAAACAAAGACACCTATCGTATAGGTCGCGGACTAAGCGCACGGTGTAAACGTAGCCAATATGCTCCAACATGTTCCTACCAGAGAGAAGCCTGAGACTGATATTCACAGTCAGTTCTTATATTCAAGATCGTCTCAAGTTCAGCCTTGAGATGTTATGAACCAATCGGAGAGCCGTATTAGCGTATTAAGACATTACTTAAGATGATTTTGAAATAAGAACCGACTATGAATACCGGCCTGAGAGCGGTCATGCCTGGGATTTAGCTGCAACCTTATTTTGAAACGCCTCTATGTCCACAAAACGTGGACATTGAACTACGTAGCCAATATCCACGATTCCGTCGGTAATGTCTACGATTTTTGATTGTATTCTTCGCTATATCCACGATTTTCGGTCCGTTAGATAGACAAAGACGAACAATCTTTTGTTCAACAAGCGCCGACAGATTGATTGTTCGTTTTTATCTATCTAACGGACCGAAAATCGTGGACATTACCGACGGGATCGTGGACATTGGCTACGTAGTTCAATGTCCACGTTTTGTGGACATAGAGGCGCTTTAAAATAAGATGCGGTTAAATCCCGGGCATGGCCGCTCTCAGGCTTCTCTCTGATTGTACCCACTCTATACACAGAAAATAAATTACAATTTCATAAGAACCTTCCACTCTATCTAGTCTAAAGCCCATGGCACATACAAAAACGTAAGGCCGTAAGACATAATCAGTAAGCGAATTGGCCAATCACGATAGAGACCGTAAGGCCAGTAGCGAATCCAATCTTAAGGGCCTGGCACACAAAAAACTTAAGGCAGTAAAACGTAAGCAGTAAGGAAATCAACATGTTGGATTCGCTACTGCTTATGTTATGGCCTTACGGACTCTACTGTGATTGGTCAATTCGCTTACTGCTTACATTTTACTGCTTAAGTTTTTTTGTGTGCCATGGCCCTTACGATTTCTTTACTGTTTACGTATTACGGCCTTACGTTTTTGTTGCGTGGTCTACAATGGGCAGTAGCAATAGTGAATTAAGGAGTAGGTGCAGAAATCGACTAATCGTAGTTGATTATCTTTCTCACATTCGATTATGATTGGTTGATTTCTGCGTCTACTCCTTAATCCACTACTGCTACTGCCCATTGTAGACCATGGCAGTATGTGCCATGGGCTTAATCCATGATGTAAGGATACCAGGTGTTTCGTTGCGCATAATGGCGATAGCAATACTGGAAGCAACCAATCATATTTTTTGCTTCTATGCACTTTCTTGCATATAATGACGTTGGCAGATTGGAATAGCCAATCAATTTTTTTGCCAGAATTCACGCTGCTATTGTGCAACCACGGGAACGAAACCTTGGCCGCTTGGCCGGAATCCATAGTCCATTTTTAATCTCAAGCAAGATCTTAAGATGCTAATACGGTGCATGAACCAAGAGAACCGTATTAGCATCTTAAAGCTGCGGTCCATTTGACGCTACAAACGCTTCGAAACATTCTTTGATTAGTCAATTCGTAAAATTCTTTATCCTGATTGGTCGATCAAACGCTCCGAAGCGTTTGTAGCGTCAAGGCCGTCAAGTGGACCGCTGCCAGAGTCGTTCATGTAGCTTACCAACGCTATCGCGCTATTCGCTCTACGAAGTGTTTGCGTCCATAGCGCGAATAGTGTCTCTCTGAACGCTCCCATAATATATTTATGAATTGAATATTTGCATTTGCGAATTTATTTAACCTCTATTCTCTAATCTATCTAACTTCGTTTAAGTACTTTCACTTTTCGCTAGCTAAGTAATGGTTCTGTGAAGAAGTTCACGCGAAATGCGAGAAATTATCATGTTCCAAATTACGTGATCAGTGTCCCAGATTTGGCACTGACAATTTCGAATGCGAGTCACGTCTAGGTGATTTACGTAAAACAATTGTTTGCGAGCGAGTCATATGTTGTCATAATTGATCTTAGTTGGGAAATAACGTTGAGGAATGTGTGATAACCTTTGACTATATAAGTCAAAGGTGATAACGGAATTGCGTCTATAGAAACGAAGGAGAGATAAGTGGTAGTTTTCACAGTTAATAACATTCCAGACCGCAAAAAATTCCTGTTCGTCGTTAAACACCTTTCATGATCATTCTCAACATTATAGCAGCTCGACTAGGCTCGCGATTTCCTGAGAAGTCGGATGATGCTCGTAACGCAGTTGGATAGAAACGCTCATCTTGACACTTTATCGATACAGCTCAGTCCTCTCGATGTGGTTTGCCACGTGGTACGTATGTATGCCCTTGCTCTTCGAGTCAATTAATTCCTATTTAAGCGACTATAAATTCAGATTCTGTTGAATCATTCTTATGAATATATTTATGATATGCAAGAGAAGATCTTACATTTGTTTTTCTCAGTCGTTATTCGACAGGTAACTGGTTAGTGATGATCAAAAGAGTATACAGAAATTTTAATAGTACTATGCACAAAATGACGACGCTTATAGAGAAAGATTATGGAACAGTGCAAGTAACACAGTTGCAGAAAGCTGCTTTACAGGAACGCTGCATACTCGTAGATAAACTGGATAAGGCTGTTGGTGAAGCTACTAAGCAATTCTGTCATGAGATTAATACGGAGGGATATGTACCGCTACACAGAGCATTCAGCGTCTTTCTGTTTAATAATAAAAAGGAATTGTTACTCCAGAAGCGATCGAGCACCAAGGTGAGAATCTCCTTTAATATTATTTTAAAATATGATTTTGAATATTTTAATCATGTAAAATTGAATAATCAGACTCTGGTGATTAAACAGTTGGTGATATTTTGAGTGAATTTTACTTTAATTTATCAAATTTTAATCTAATCTTAATTTTAATGTAATCCGATCATGGCTTAACTCATGAAATTAAATACCTTGAACTAAAATTTGAAATAAAAATCCTAAGAAATTTATAGTAAAAGTTTTTGTTTGTTGACAATCTTAAATCAAATTAAATTTTTTGTATGAAATAATTATGTTCATTTTTCTACAAATATTCTCCATACATTTCTAATTTATGTAATTTATATTACAGATAACATTTCCAAATTGCTATACGAATACGTGCTGCAGTCATCCCTTAGCGGAGATTCCTAACGAAATAGAAGAAGAAGATGCCATAGGTGTACGCCGAGCCGCAATAAGAAGGCTCAGTTACGAGTTGGGTATACCTATCGACGAGATCAAACCTTCTGACCTATTTTACTTGACAAGAATTTTCTATCAAGCACCCAGTAACAATCGTTGGGGTGAACACGAGATCGATTACATATTGTTTCTGCAACGGGATGATCTCACCATAAATCCCAATCTTGATGAAGTGAGCGAGATTCAGTGGATGTCGCGATCAGAGATCGACAATTTTATGAAGACCACACCACTGATGACACCGTGGTTCCGTCTGATTTACAGTTTTAAATTGTTACATTGGTGGGACAATCTACATGCCTTAGCTGAAATGCAAGATCACCAAAATATAACTATGTTGACGGATTGATTTGTATATATGTATATATTTTATGTCTATTTTTTTTAGCTGAACTTTTTGTGTACCATTCTTTTTTTCTTCGTAAAGAGAAAAAAAGAAAAGTTGAATGCAAGAAGTTCAACTGAATAGACTTCTTGTCACCAAAGTAAAACTCGTCTAATACATATTACACGGGTTGTCGAAATAACAATTCCTGTAGTTTGTATTACTGAGAAAATGGATTTAAGTTTGTGGGATATGTTTGTACCTGTGTCTTCTTAACTTCAATATTTTATGTATTCGTATATTGTGCAATTTATGTATTTGGAAAAATGTAAGTGTTTTCTAAATATAACAGGTGGATTTTACTAGTCGTTTTTAAATTTTTATAAAGGGAAAGGGCTCGCAATTGAATGTCGTAATTTAAGCATTTCCTGTTGCAAAATATATATATATTTTATTAAATATTGTATACGAATATAAGTAAATAAATTTGTTACTGAAATTCACTTTTATCTCTTCAACATTTTTTGTTTCTACTTCTGCATTTTCCTCATTAATTTATTTCCGTATTTTTTAATACTTTGAATCAATTCGCTACATTGTTTCTAGACCGTGAACTACATTTATAGCTTTTAATGAGCGACATACACACTTCTCCACTATTTCATTTTGTCATTTCTAAAGGCTGCGGAGATGTAGGTATGCGCTCATTTAACTGGTCACTCGTTCGAGGCGTTCTCAATTATTTGGACGTCTTAATTAATACGTCACTCGTTGCGTCAATGTCGATGACAATATCTATCATAGTAGCAAAGGATACTTATGTTTACCATGATGTATTTCAAACTCTCAATAATATAGTGATGAAGAATCGATTTTTTTAACGAGAAAATAAATAAAAGATGTAAAATAAATCTTTCTCAATTGATGGTTTGTAAGGAAAAAGATGCTGAATATAAAATGTAATTTTTCCTGTTTTTACCTGTGTAGTGACATGTATAAATTTGTGCGAATGTATAAATGATATTATACCTAATTTATGTGCGTAGCTTTTCAAGTATATTTATAACAATTCGACGTTAGGCAGGATACGATAAAATCCAGGAAGTTTGCAGTATATTTTCTTCTAATTTTTTAAACACAAACGTTATTTCCACAACTCCATGTATCCTTATATAATACAAAAAATGTAAGTGATTTTAACAGTTTGTATAATTTGGGTTTAAAAAGATTTAATTTAATTTAATTTGTTTTAAAAATTTCTTATCATTACGACCTTTAGATTAGCTATATAATCTCTACCTTAGTGATCGTACTACACATTTTATGACAACATACTGTTAATCTCTTTTACTTTTCCTCTTACATATTTTAAATTTACAAGAAGCATCCGGCATCACTAATCGTGAGGATGACTATGAAACTTCAGACGTAAGAATGAAGGGGTACTGCGCTTCTTTGTAATACTTCTCTCTTACGTTACATCTCCTTAATTCTACGTGAACGTAAGTAATCGCGGTCAGTCGCGAAAGGGAATTAGATAAGTAGGAAAAATAGGTTGTAAGACGAGCCAGTTTAAGACACGTTATCTTTGTCATTGTCGTGATCATTAATATACATGTTCCCTTATTCCCATTCCCCTTGATCCATTCATGACGCTCTTTCGTGGGTGGGATATATAAACGTTGTTTGTCTCTTCTTCTTGCTCCTATCTCGCAAGAGCTCGTCGGTGCATATATATGCCGTGTAAATGATGTATCCTTCTTTTGTTTACGCGAGTATTGTTCCCGAGTGACGCGAAGTGCGAAAAAGAAGCCGCGCATGGACGAAGAGTGAAGTTTTTCTCTTCTTTTTTGTAATTCCTGAATATTTAAAAACAGTTAAATCATCGTGAAGATGGTGCATTTAATGACACAATTATGGATTGATATTTGTCAGGTTTTTTGTCTTTTTCTGTTGTTTGGAACTGCATTTGGTTACGAAGCAGCACCGAATATAATCGTCTTGATGGCTGATGATTTGGTAAAATATCTATATTGATAAAAACGAAGATACTTCAGTAATTACATTATAAAACATAAGAATAAATGAATATATATTACATTTCCAAATATATAAAATTTCTCTTTTTCTTTATTTAATTTCCAAAACACCAGAGTTTTGTAAAAAAATTGTTAAATCCTTTTTTATTTATTGTCTCATCTCCTTACAAGAAATGAGAATTAAAATTTAATTAAAGAGATAAAAAGAGAAGTTAGAAATATTCTATATTTCTTTTAAAAAATTCAGGTATTTAAATATACTTTACAAGTACACCTAGTTATAGAGTTTTATGTAGTGTTAATATACAATAGAAATAGAAAGAAAAAAAAACAGAACAATAGGAAAAATCTTAAGAAGTTTATGAAGATGAGTCCTGAGATTCTTAAGGATATGTGTCATATCTAAATACCAAAAATATAAAAATTTTATAGATTGTTTTATTATTACTTCTAAATAGCTGTGTAAAATTAGAGTATCATCTCTTATTGATTTAAAAATTACTTAAAGTAATTCATTTATCCATCTTGATTTTTATGTAAAATCGCACTTTGTAATGCTTATTCGCAAATTTGATGAGGATCGAAATAACATTAAGAATTAAGTGGTAAATAAATTCGAACTAAATTCCCAAGATAATAAATTCAAAAAAGTAAAACAAATAACAGGCAATTGAGAATTGGCGCTGTAGACGTTGCGCAGTTTTTGTTTCTTTAAAATATTCTATATTAAGAATTAAATCACATTTTGCACATATATTAATAAGAATAATACCTTATATTACACGCACAAATATTACAGTTTGCATAAACATTATTATATTATACACATATAAACATCATTTGCGTTACTCGCGCTTGCTTTACAAACACAATTCGACACGATTAATTTACGCAAAAGTATTCCAGATTAAAATTATCCTTAGTTAAGTTAATTATTGTAGCTTACGTATTATCTACGCCTCCGCAATCAACAGTACGCACGTCGTGAATTGTGACTCATTCCGACTATACGACGGAATGCTAATTCCTACACGCGCCAATTACAATTTAATTCGATTATGTAATTTTTATATGCTAGGCTTCCGGTTTATGAGAGAAGTTTTGAATGTCTCAGTAAACATCAATAGTAACATAACTTCGATTAATTATAATTTCCCATTTAATAATATAATTGTTACATTACGTACAACATGTATTATATTACAGTTATAGTTATGTTAAGTAGGAAATTATAACTATAAATGCACTGAAAGAAAAGATTGGCTGAATATGACGTAGCATTTTTAATTTTTGCAGCAGCCAATTAAAAATGCTATTTTACCATTTAAATTGCTGCAGCAACCAATCTTTTCTTTCAGTGTGGAGTTCATCTTTTAATAATTGTAAATTATCAAATTATTAATATCTCATTTTAATTACTAATTAATTTTTATTATATATTTCCGTATTATATACATGCTGACTGAAAATAAAACACTCCAAATTTTTAGGGGTGGAATGACGTTGGTTTCCACGGCTCGAATCAGATACCGACCCCAAACATAGACGCTCTAGCATATAACGGAATTATATTGAATAGGCATTACGTCTTACCATCCAGTACACCTTCTAGAACCGCGTTTTTTACCGGAAGGTATCCAATACGTATGGGTACGTATTATTCATCGATTTAACGCTATAAACTTCATTTAGAGCCAATTTCACCAACGCTGATTAAGCTTAATCATGATTAACTGTCAACCGTAATTGGTCAATTTTTCTAAACACAGCAAATGCGATTGGTCAGTTAAAGGCCGATTAAATTAACTGGCGTTGGTGAAACTGGCCCTTACTCACGCTATAAAGTTTGTGCGCGAGAAATCGATTCCATCGTCAGCCTTTTTCTCTTCCGTTTTTTACTGAAGAGGTCAGTTTCATTAGTTCTTTATCATTTCGCAAAGTTTTACGACATTTACGAACTGTGTTCAAGTAACGAAACGACACCTGTAAAGGTCGAAATAATTTAATGCAGACAATTTAAGTACATACATGAAATGAGTACATACATAATAACGCTGATAACTAAATTTGACTTTGTTTTTGTTACACATGTGAATAGTCATTTTCGATATATTTTCGCCTGTTGAACGTACCCATTGTCCAAATTATTTCAAAATTTTAAGAAAATAAGTGTTAAAAAGAGGCTAAAAACGATTTAGAAGATTTCTATGAAAGTTGTAGCACCGGTAGTGATTTTTAAAAAATTTCATTAAATTAATGCAGTCGCGTGAATTAATGCACCATCCGAAATACTCTGGTACAACCGATCTATGTTGTCCGATACAGGTATGCAAGGAGAAAGTATACAGGGTGGCGAGCCTAGAGGACTACCCCTCAGTGTGAGGATTTTGCCGGAACATCTACGGGGGTTGGGGTATACGACAAAGCTGATAGGGAAGTGGCATTTAGGATACCACACTCCTCAGCACACTCCCTTGCATCGTGGCTTCGATTCCTTCTTTGGCTTTTATAATAGTCACGTTTCGTATTATGACTATAAATACTCATATCAGGTACATATTCCTATTGAATCGATCATTTCGTAATTTGATAAATTCAAAGCGCATGTAAAGTTCTGGCTCTTGTACATTTTATTGATGATCTAGTAGTCTTACGAGAAAAATGTAATAAAAAATTATTTAGAGATTTGTACGAGATAAATTATAAAAGAGAAGAAAAGGATTGTACGAATATTTTAAAAGCTAAACTGATTAACTCTAATTTTTACAAATTTTAGTACAACTCATGATTAGTTTACAACTTTAACAATTTCCTTTACTTTTTGTTTTATGGAGTTAATAAGTTTGGCTTCTGAGAAAGTCATTCTGAAAAACAATAATTCTTTCTGTAGCTTTTATTCATCTTTTTATAAATCGTGTACTTGTAAAATAATAAATAATTATAAATAATTAATTTTTAACTAATATTATACTAAATAATTTTTAAAGTAACAAGCTAACATTATTTTGTTGTCATTTTGACGCAA